ACATTAATCTTTTCTTCTTCAGTTTGAGGAAATTTTGAGGTAGACGAAAAATCAGATGAAGATGATTCAGAATGATGAGAGCGATGAGAAGGAGTTTTTGAGGAAACTTTGGATTTTCCTTTGTTTTGAGAATAATATTCGTTGGTTAAGTCTTTTGCTTTAAGGCAAACTACTTCCATACGAATATCTTGAACATGTTTTTCAAGTTTTGAAATTTGAGATTTCATTTCCTTGACTTCTACTTGAAGATCAGGAATTGAAGGTTTAGAACCTTTTGAAAGTTCTTTTTGAGCACGACGAAGAATATTAGTAAGATTGATATCATCAAAATCTTCTTTTGATGTAGAGGAAGAAAGCAAAGATGAAAATTTATCTTTGAGTTTAGGATTATCAATAATATTTTGAATAATTTCTTCTTCTCCTGTCAATATTTGTAAGATTAATATCTTCAAAATCTTCTTTTGATGTAGTGTGTGTGTGTGTGTACACACACACACACACACACATGAATTTCTCCCTCTTGATTGTTATAAGAGAACTTTGATGCAACATGAAGCAAAACTGCACGACGAACAAAGATCGAAGCTCGTTGATTTTGATGGAATATCAATAATTGACCAACTTGATTCAAGTTTATACCAACAACAGATTAACAATAGAAATCATTGAATTAGAATTTACAATTGAATATGTAGTATTGATCTTGATCAACAAACTTGTTCATTCAATATGAGAATGTCAAGACGGGATTAAACAATTGAAAGAAAATAATAATTTACAGAGTGTTCTCAACTAAAGGGGGGGTGTCTCAATTGAGATCGTTATGCATTTTAAAAGTCATTCTAAATTTAGATGTCTTCAATTGAAATTTTATTGGATTTTAATGAAATCCATTAAAATTTAGGTGTCCTCAATTGAGATTTTAATAAAATTTTTAAATTTTAATTATCCTCAATAATTAGTGAATTTATAAAGATTTCATTAATAGAAGGATTTTAAAATATTTGGATGGATTTCGAGCTTAAAAATATATATAAGTAAATCTTTTGAAATTTCACCATATTTAATAAAATTCTTATGGAATTTGTAAGAATCAATTTAAATCCACAAAATTTATTCGAATTTATAGTCCTTTAAAATTCATTAAAATTTTAATTGTGAACACCCCTGTAAGATTTTGACGAATTTTATAAATCCTTTTAAATTCCGGTATCTTCAATTGAAATTTTAGTGAAATCCTTTAAAATCTAGGTGTACTCAATAACTTGTTGATTTATAAGGATTTCATAAATAGAGAGATTTTAAAAGATTTTAGATAAATTTCAAACTTAAAAATACATATTACAAACTTTTTTGAAATTTTACCAATTTTAATGAGATTTTTTATAAATTTTATAGAAATTTATTCAAATTCAAGAAATTTATTTGAGATCCATCAAATCTCATTTGCATAGTGATAGAGATGAATGGAAAGATCAATAATAATGTTTCAAACTGTAATGTACATATTGTCCGTCCCTCATTTTATTCCAGTCCCCTTCACCTACTCTCCGTTAAAAAAAAAGAAAAAAAGAAAAAAAAAATTTAATTAAAAAACCTACAGTTTCTCTCTTTCTTCCCCGTAGAATTCTCAACTACGTACTATAAAACTAAAAGCTTCCAGCTTTTTCATTATCCCGATTCTATCATGGCGTCCTTTTTCTGTTCTACAAAATTTTTTCTGCTACTTATTCTTCTCTCTGCAGTTCCTGTAGCGTTCATTATTCACTTAGAAACTTCCAAGCCTGCAACTCATGTGTACGAGTATCACAGCACCGGATGGTTAAGGGAGTGCACTAAGTGGGACGACGTCAAACGCCGATTCCTCGTCTCTTTTATGGAGGGCGGTTTGGGGGAGGTTCCGGTGCCGGAAAACTATGTTCCGGGAGCTGTTTTGAAGGAGATTCCGGTGGTGGAAAACTTGGGTTTAGGCAAGAATTCGTCGCTCGGGTTCGTTGTGGACCGGCCGAGGAATCGGGTGGTTGTGGCCATTGCCGATGTGATTGGGAATTTGTACAGTGCGGTGGCGGCCTATGACTTGACGACATGGGAAAGAATTTTTCTGACCAAGCTCAGTGGCCCTGGTGAGTATGTATTAAATATTAATTACAATTCCTTCAATTTTTTTGCTACAATTATAGCACTCGTAATTAATGGGATGGGTTCAACGAGTGAATTGGAATTAAAAAAAAAAAAATTTTTTAATCATCATATTACCGGACGGACGAAAAATGATCCTTTCTTCAAACCATGTCTAATAATGCAATTCGAACATTACATACATTTAGCGATTTTCCTAGTGGTACATCGGGATGTACTTAATGGTGTACACCCCACTCACATGGGCGAGGGACCCACTCGAATAAAATATCATTTCTTTCACATGGGTCTCACACTCATGTGAGTGGGGTGTACACTATTCGGTACACCCCATTATGTACCACTAGATAAATTCTACATTTAGAGTTTCAATTATCTATTAAAAAATAGTACGACAAATTTATTACACTGTAAGGCTCCTCAGATACTGGACCGTGTCATTTGCTAAGAAGCAACAATTTATCTAATCAAGGTGATAATAGCCAAACTATTCTATTTCTAGTTTTGATTGATTAATACATGCTGGAAATTTTGCTTTATTTTTTTGTTGGGGTGGAGAAGAACCAAGATTTTTAACTGGTTACGGTTCAGAGTAAATGAATTTAAGGAAAGAGAAGCCATGGAGTATCAACCAATATTGATGCATTCATTAATTTCAGCCTTTCAAGAGAGTAGGGTTTGGTACATTCTTGCTCACCAAACGCCAACAAAAGTAGTTGATTCCGTATGCTGGCTGGCTGGCTCCATTTTTTATTTACAACTATAAATAGTACTATGGCCCCGTTTGGTAGCTATTTTTTTTAAAATGTATTTTTCTCTCTTCTTTTCAACCACACATTCTTTATTAAAATAATATTACACATAAATAAAAAAAATTTCCTTATTTCTCAACCATTAAGTAAATCATTTGGTACTTGTAGCATCTTCTCACAGCTGCCCTTCCAATAGGGGACCGTCAGTTGTCAATTCGATAAATCATTAGGTAAATCATTTGGTACTTACAGCATCTTCCCAAAAATAATATTATGGTTCACATCACATGCAGATATTACAATCCAAAATATGTACGTATTCTGAAACTTGCCTTAAAGGCACGGAATCACGGGACTTTCTGTAGTTGTCCAGTTTGAAAAACTGACAGCTTTGTAATGACCGCCCGCCCTTTGTGCTGTGCTACAACTTTTCTTTACAAAAGACAATGTGGGGGATTAATTTAACATTGACTGATGAATATCATAATGATATTTCGTCTTCGTCGAATATGCAGAGGATGGAAAAGCGTTGTCAGATGATGTAGCAATTGATCCAGAAGGTAATGCATACGTGACCGATGTAAAAGGAAACAAGATTTGGAAGGTTGGAGTGGATGGAAAATTCTCATACATCATAAGTAACCCACTCTTCACTCCAAAAGAGTGGTACAATAACTTGGTTGGACTTAATGGAATCGTTCACCATCCAAATGGATACTTACTCGTGATTCATACATTTTCTGGGAATTTGTACAAGGTTGAAATTAAAAAGGGTGACGCAGTGAAGTTGGTTAAGATAATTGAAGGTTCTTTGAAATTCGGGGATGGATTGGCGTTGTTATCTCCGACTAAGCTTGTAGTGGCTGGGAACCCATCAAAATTGGTTGAGAGCACGGATGATTGGGAGAGTGGCTCTGTTGTGGCCAAGTTTAAAGGTGCTTCTCATCGTTTAGTAACTGCAGCAACAGTGAAGGATAGGAAGGTGTACCTAAACCACATTTTTGGTTTAGGGTATCCTAAGAGAAAGCATGTGCTTGTTGAGGCCGATTTTTCTTCATGAAACAGGGCGCAGTTTGGTGATTAATTGAATGTCATGTTCTTTTTCTTTTGTTTCTCTCTATCCGTTTTTCTTTTTCTTATTGAGGGGCTGTGGATGTTATCATACTGTATTTTCGCCTTTTCACGCTTGTGTAATGAGATTTGAGTCGTCACCACATGGTTCCATCATCTACAAATACGAGTACAAACTCTTTTTTCTGATCTGATATTTGTAATGGATGGAGTTTTCCATCTAATTTTGTATGAACAATCGTTTCTCTTGACGAGACCAACATAATACATAAATGAAAGACGCAGGAAAATATATAAATATTCTGAAATACAAATGCCTTAATCTCGAAGCTCATATATGTTGTCCGAACCGAGGTTATGAGAAATTGCCTAAAACAACAAACAATCATGTCCATGGTACCTCATCAAGATTGGTGCTTCTTAGCTCGGCCTTGAGGAACTGGTGAACCATCTCTCTTTGAACCCTCAGGCTTCCGTGCCCATGAGGGTGCTTCATCAGGACCGTAGCGATAATCATAGAAAAGTTCTTTTCCAGCTTCAATATGCTCATTGGCAAAAATGCCAACACGATGATCACCAGCCACAGATATCACCTGCACAAACCGTCCTATATCAGCTCAATTAAAACATAGAAACTTCCGTTGCAAATCATTGAAAGATGAATACCTTTGCATAACAGTTTGGGGTGGATGAGTGATTTGCAAATTTCAGTTTGTCGCCATTGCGGCAGGCATCAAGGACATACTGCACATGAAACACAGCATTGAGATCTCTGTTTTGGTTTTACTTAATACAGTAATGAGAGAAGAAAGGACATGAAATTGCAAACACTGAATTGCAGGATCAGGAGAGGAATTGCTATAAGCCTATAACATGGTTAAAAACACACATTGGGATACAAGGGATGATTTCAAATATGTTAGAATATCCTTAATCGAGAGACTTGCCTGATCATTCAAGTCGAAAAGGAATGATGAATTTGCACGATCATAGATTTTTCCTCGCTTATCTGCTTCCTGATGAGAAATCAATTCACCAGTATACTCTCCCAGGTAATCATTTTTATTGACAGAGCTCTGCTAATACATGTCAAATGGACCATGAAAACTTCACAAGCAACCAACAATAGGATAGAAAAACGCACTTCCTTCATACCTTTAAAAATGCTCCCCAACCAGCAACATTAGACTTTGCCAAGAGGATCTGATCCAAAGAGGATTAGACAACCACGTAGAAAACGTCCAAGTATGGAAAGATATCGGGGATGGAAATTGTGATTAATTAGAGATTTTGTATTTTAGGATAATTGGTTGATTATTTCATTTCCTTACTAGGCAAATTATTTTTCCTTCTTTTCTTCCAACTAGTGTATTATAAATTGATTGTATTACTGCTCAAATGAAAATCAATATGCACAAGAAATTCATTCCAACATTATCTATTTATCTTCATGGTATCAAAGCCGGGTTCCCTAACCTAGCAGACTAATAGCGGAATTCCCCTTCACTAATCAGGAATCTATAACTTCTGAAACTTCCCAATTCAAAGCAGAAGCCAATTCCTTATTCGGCTCAAATGGAATCGATGACTCCTCCTTGCAACTCACAATGAAGAAACTGAATGGAAAGAACTTTCGAGAGAGGGCCCAATCCATAAAACTAGTGATCGATGGAAGGGGAAAATTAAGATAACTGATTGGCAACTCAAAGAGGCCAACCGATGCGAAACGTCTGTCGAGATGGAATTCTGAAAATTCTATGGTAATGGCATGGCTTGTAAATTCCATGAAACTATCTATTGGAAAAACGTATCTCTTCCTTCCGACCGCAAAAGATGTCTGGGAGGCTGTGAAAGAGACATACTCCAACTGTGAAGATTCTTCGCATACCTTCAAAATAAAGACTCAGCTATGGCAGATGAAGCAAGGCACAAGGGATGTTACAAATTACTATATGAAGATGGTCTCTCTTTGGTAGGAATTGGACCTTAGCAGTGATGAAGAATGGAAATGCCAAGAAGATACAGCTCTATTTAAGAACGAGAGAGTGTATGAGTTCCTTGCAGGTCTGAATCGGGAACTCGACGATGTCAGAGGCCAGATATTGGGTCAGCGACCACTGCCTCCCACTGTGTTCTCCGAGGTCCGACATGAAGGGGCACACCGGCAGGTGATGATGAAGGAGAGCTTCAGAGATGCGTCTGCCTTAGCCACAAATAGATCTCAAAATTTAAGAACTAATGGGCCAAGAAACAAGGTACCAGGTACCAGATGTTTTTAAGTAAATAGGCCTGCCAGGACTGGTCTGTTAAATTACATGGGGTTGCTGGAAAATCCAGCTAATAACACTTATGGTGGATTTAGGCCAGCTGGATTTGGAGGAGGAAATTTGGGCCTATCATCAAAAGGAAGTATTGGTGGATCCAACCCAAAATTGCGGGGATGACCCTACTATGAACACTATCATAGGTCGGGACATAAAGAAGACAAATGTTGAGAATTTCATAGGAAACCCACTGATTGGAAACCTAAAAAATACTAGGAGCTGGGGGTATCAAGCCCAAACAGCAAGTAATCAAATTTCTAGTGGTGCTTTTAATTCAGAACTAGAGCAACTTTACCAAATATTCTCAAGTCTTCAAACAATTATAGGTAACTTTCTTAGAGCCATAAGTACTTAACGATCTAAAACTGCCTGGATTATTGATTTCGGTGCATCTGCTCACATGACGGACTCATATCACCTATTCTCTTAATACGCTACCTATGTGGGAAACATTAAATTAAAAATTGCACATGAATCACTCACATGTGTCGCAGGAAAGGGAGTATTCGAATCTCTAAGTCCATGACACTAGAATCTATACTTCATGTCCTAAATTTGTCTTGTAATTTGTTATCTGTCAATCAGTTGACCAAAAATTATAATTGTTATGCTAATTTCTTTCCATTTTACTGTATCTTTCAGGACCTTTCATAGGGGAAGACGATTGGGAATGCTAAGGAGTTTGAGGGACTGTACTACGTCATCTTTTAGGTTGTAATTCTACATCTGCATCTGTCTGCAGATCAGGACACCTTAGCTTGAAATACTTAAAACATATATTACCTTCTATTTTTATTAATAAAAATTCTGTTGAGGTTCAATGTGAAAGTTGTGAATTCACAAAACATTAGCGTACATCCTTTCCAGCTTCCACGTACAAGTCATCTAAACCTTTCGCCATAATTCACAGTGATATATGGGGTCCTTCTAGCTATCCTAACCATACCCAAACGAAATGATTTGTCACATTTATAGACAACCACACTCGGATATATTGGGTTTACATCCTAAAAGAAAAAATGAATGTCTGCTCCGTATTCATGAATTTCCACTCTATGATTCAAACCTAATTTCAAACGCTACTCCAAATTCTACACACTGATAATGACACAGAATACTCCAATACTATATTACAATACTATCTAAAAAACATGGAATAGTCCACCAAAACTCATGTGTCAACTCTCCCCAACAAAACGGGATTGCTGAATGAAAGAATAGACACCTACTCAAAGTCGTCCGTGCTTTAATGTTCACTACAAATATGCCAAAGACATTTTGGGGAATGTCATTCTAACTTCTGCATATCTCATCAATCGAATGCCTAATCGAAACCTTTCCTTTAACTCACCCATACATGGACTCCAACAACACTTCCCGGCTTCCCACGTTAGTTCAAATCTACCTCTCACAAAGTATTTGGAAGTACCACGTTTGTACATATCCACTCCCATCCTCGAAATAAACTTGAACCACGTGCAATCAAATGTGTGTTTCTTGGATACTCATCTATACAAAAAGGCTACAAGGGACCCGTCCAACAAAAAAAATTACGTAAACCTCAACGTAACCTTCTTAAAAAACACACCTTACTACAAAAAGTGACATCTTCAGGGTGAGAATATAAGTAAAGATCGGTTCTCAAATCAGGAATTATTTGATATTGACCTTTTCTTGTCGGAACTAATACATATAGAACCTATTAATCTATATTCTAATGTGCCATATACAATAGGAAACTTGAATTCAGGGGAAGAATAATGGAAAACATAGTGACAAAGTGTTATTGGTTTACTCAAGAAAGTCAAAATCAAAGTATAAGGAAACACTTACACTCGAGGCACCAAGGAAATTAGAATCGATGATAGGACCTAAGAACCCATCCAATGAATCTTCATATCTGGATCTACCCATTGCTATTAGAAAACAAACTCGATCATGTACTCTTCATCCTATTTCAAAATTCATATCTTATTGTTTAACAAGAGTTAGGCATAAGTAGAGAAGAAGGTAAACTCTTCCTCTCATCTTCATTTTATTATATAGAAAAATAACGTGTACATATATGGAAACTGAATATACCAAATAATGTTCTTATCTAATATACATTATGTCTAATTGATTTTCTTCCTTAACACTCCTCAAGCTGAAGTATATATATCATATAAGCCTAGCTTGGAACACAGAAATTTCAACCTATTAATATTCAATGATTTCATAAACACATCTGCAAGTTGGTCTCCAGTCTTCATAAATGGTGTACATATATCACCACATACTATCTTGTCCCGAACAAAGTGATAGTCAACTTCAATATGCTTGGTCCTTCTATGAAAGATTGAATTGCATGCAATATGTAGTGCTGTTTGATTATCATAGAACATCGGCATAGGAATAGAAGGTGAGAGGTTGATTTTTTGAAGAAAGTGCTGCAACCATGTCAATTCACTAGCAGTATGGGCCATTGCCCTATATTTTGCTTCTGCACTTGATCTTGCTACTACAGTTTGTTTCTTACTTTTCCAAGAGACAAGATTATCGCCGAGGAAAGTAAAGAAACCGGTAGTGGATCGTCTATCTGACGGATATCCTACCCAATCCGCATTTGTAAACCCTTCTATTCTGATATGTTCATTTAGTTTATACAATAATCCAAAACCTGAGGCCTTTTTTCAAATACCGAATAATACGTATAATAGCTTCCCAATGAGAAACTCGAGGAGCATCCAAAAACTGACTAACAATGTTGACTGCATAAGAAATATCTGGTCGTGTGACAGTAAGATAATTCAATTTTCCAACCAAACGACGATATTTTCCTAGTTCTCCAAATGATTCTCTTTCATCCTTCAAAAGTTTCACATTATGATCCATGGGAGTATCAACTGGACGAATTCTAAGAAAACCTGTCTCATCTAACAGGTCAAGTGCATATTTTCTCTGAGATAAGTTGATACCTGCTCGAGACCTGGCAACTTCGATACTCAAAAAAATATCGAAGCTTGCCTAGATCTTTAGTCTGGAAGTGTTTTTGTAGAAACTGTTTCAATCCCATATGCACTATCACCAGTGATTACAATATCATCTACATAAACTACAAGAATAACACGACTTGCACCAGTTTGTAGATGAAATACTGAATGATCTGTCTGACACCTTTGAAGCCCAAATTTTAGAACAACCTCAAAAAACTTTCCAAATCATGCCCTCGGTGATTGCATTAACCCATATAAAGCTTTTTTCAACCTACAAACATAGTTCTAGTATTCCCCTTGAGCAACATACCCAGGTGGTTGCTCTATATAAACCTCTTCATACAAATCACCACGAAGAAAGGCATTTTTAATATCCAGCTGGAACAGTGGCCAATCAAGGTTAGCAACAATTGAAACCAAAACACGAATAGAAGAGATCTTAGCAACCGGATCGAACATTTCATCATAATCAATACCATAGGTTTGTGTGTAGTCCTTAGGAACCAATCGAGCCTTTAACCAATCAACAGTCCCATCAGAATTGAACTTCGGAACATAAACCCATCCGTTACCAACGGGACGTATACTAGGTGTTGAAGGAACAAGGTCCCAAGTTTTATTCTTGTGTGAGGCTGCCATTTCCAATTCCATAGCCTTTTGCCACTCAAGATCTAATAAATCCTCTGTCACTGTCTTAGGTACAAAAACACTAAAAAGTTGGGATGTGAAACAAGAAAACGAAGGTGACAACGAATCAAAAGTGACATAGTAGCTAATAGGATATTTAGTTACACAAGTATGTTTACCTTTATAGAAAGCAATGGGCAAGGACTTAGTATCGGAACAAACGACAGAAGCAGGATCTGAAGACGGCAAGGCGATGGATGGGGCCACAGGTGGTGGTGTCTTAGATCGTCTAGTATAAACCTGCAAAGGAGGAGGTGGTTCCTTATGAGAAGATGATGACCCTCGTATAGTAGATGAAGACGAGACTGGTTCCGGAGAAATACCAACTGGTAGATGTGGAACGGGTAAGTTAACGAGATCCCGAGTGGATTTGGGAGACGTACTATAAACAAAGAAATAAGGTGTAAACTCATCGAAAGTGAAATCTACACTTACAAAATAGTGTTGCAAAGAAGGATTGTAGCAACTATACCCCTTCTGTGTTTGGGAATAACCAAGGAAAACACATCTCATAAACAAAATAGCGAGAGTCAAGTTTGTCGCGACCAAGACCAAAGGAATGAACATAACAAATACACCCAAAAACTTTGAGAGATAATGAGTATGGTGGAGATGAGAAAAACAAAAGAGAAAAGGGAGATGCACCATTCAAAACAGAGGATGGCATGCAATTAATGAGATAGCATGCAGTAAGGACCGCATCACTCCAAAAACGTTTGAAGACATGCATATGACAAAGAATAGCACAAGTAACATCTAATAAATAACGATTTTCTACAACTCCATTTTGTTGTGGAGTATATACATAATATGTTTGATGAGTAATGCCTTTAGAAGTTAAATAGAAAGTAAAAGATGCAGACATATATTCTTTGGCATTATCAGAACGCAAAATACGGACTTTCTTGTTAAATTGAATTTTAATCAAAGAACGAAAGATTTGAAATGTAGAAAGTAACTCGGAACAATTTTTCATTAGGAACAACCAAGTCATACAAGAACAATCATCCACAAAAGTGACAAAATATTGGAATTTATAAGAAGAAATATTGATTGGTCTCCATACATCAGAATGAACTAACTCAAATAAACCAGAAACACAATTACTAGTTCGTAAAGGAAAAGACACATGGTGATATTTGCTAAGCTGACAAGCATCACATTCAAGGGAGGACACATTACGAAGACTCACACCTTGACGTTTTAAAGTGGATCGAGAAGGGTGACCAAGATGGCAATGCCACTATATGGTTGAAACAGAAGACCGAAGAGCTCGAGGAGAGACCGGTGAAATATCCGGGTAGTACAAGCCACCAACTTCATTCCCCATACCAATCATCCTCTTCGTCTTGAGATCCTGAAAAACACACAAGGAGGGATAAAATGTTACAGAGCACTGAAGAGATTTGGTAATTCTACTAATAGACAATAAACTAGAGGGAAACCAGGAACATGAAGGATGGTTGACAGGTTAATATTAGGACTAGGACGGGTATTGCCCGAGCCTGCAACACTAGTTTGGGAACCGTTAACCAGAGTAACACATGTGGAAGAAATAACAGGATGATAATCAAAAAGAAAAGTAGACAAACCAGTCGTGTTCTATTGCACCGGAATTGATAATCCACGGATTGTTAGAGGATGACAATAGACAGTGAGAAGATGCAGTACCTGACTGAGCGAGTGTGGCCATAGAAGTGGAAGTAGCCTGTTTATGAGCTAAAAACTCAGCATACTCATCCCGTGGTACAATTAAGAGATCAGATCCTTGTGTTGAGTTAGAGTTAGTTACCAATCCAAATACTGGGTGATGGTCCTCACTAGACAAGACTTGATTGGCAGAACCAGATGGTTTGCTATGTAAGTCCCAACAATAATCAACAGAGTGACCTGTACGACCACAGTAAGTACATTTTCGAGGTTCACGATTTCCCAAACAACCACTACTTCTAGTATCTCGTCCACCCCAAGAACTAACACCACGTCCACTTTAACCGCTATGTCCACCCCTAAATGAGCCAACCCTAGCAATAAAAGTAAAATTATCTCCACTAGGTGCACTATCAAAGAGAATAGAGCGCTGAATATGAGAAAATGTCCCTAGAAGGCTGGGAAGTTCTTTTCCACCCAATATCTGGGCCTGACAACTTCAAACTCGGGTGGAAAACCAATAAGAAATTTAACAATATCAATGTCTTCCCGCTGTTTTTCCATAACTTTCAAGTCAAGAGAGAGAGGTTGATACATATTTCTTTCCAGACACACAGCCAATAGTTTATTATAATACTCAACAAGGTTGGAAGAGCCTTTCTCAAGCCTAAAATATTGTTTGGAAGTCTCATAGATTCCAGTAACATTCCCTGTTCCAGAGTGTATATGTTTAAGATGCTCTCAAATTTGCTTAGCCGTAGATATGTAAAGAGAAAAAGACCCAATATAAGGCTCAATACTACTGATCATAAGTCCAATGATTGCATTATCTTCTTGATCCCACCGATCGTTGAGATTGGAATCACCTTCAGAAGATTTGGCAAACGGCTTGTCTAAAATCATGTGGTTATATAAACCCTTACCTCATAAGAAGATCTCGACACACCTAGCTCAATAAGTATAATTTCTTTCATTCAATTTTCTGGTGCCATGAGTCCAGTCAAATTGAACATCTCCATCTTGGATGACATAATTTTACCACCCACACTAGTACTTGGACCATAGAGAATAAGACAAATCAATAATAACAGGCAACCATAAACCAAGTGACTAACCCAGTAATAACGAGACTCCAAAAATAATAAGCCAGAAACCAAAAATTAGAGCCCAAAGAAATCAAATAACAATATGAGCCCAAACAAAATCCAACCACAAACTAAGCCCAACAAAATTACTAGAGTCCAATAACTACATTCATAGCCAGAGCCAAATTAACTAGCCTACAATTCTAATTGAAGCCACAGAATGCCCAAATCAAGTCCAAGAACTGCAGAGAAACGAGAGCAATACTATAGCCACTGCGTCGCCACTCGACCACTGATTAAGAAGAAGCAGACCCTGCTGTCGATGCCCAATATCTATTGCAACCCATGACTGCTACTACAACCACCGGCAACTACAGGCACCATGTGTGGCCACACTTGACGCATTCGATAATCAACATACTGAGGTTCTACTATCTTTTAATCAACAATTCATACTGGTTGAGATCATCACACAGTGGAGGAAAAGGCAAAAAAAAGAAGGAAAAAAAAAAGGGGACAGACGATTTGCTTAAGAGAAGAAGAATGCCAAACCCTAAAAATTTTGCTCTCATACCATGTTTAACGAGAGTTTAGCATAAGTAGAGAGGAAGGTAAACTCTTCCTCTCATCTTCCTTTTATTATATAGAAAAATAACGTGTACATACATGGAAACTAAATATACCAAATAATGTTCTTGCCTAATATACATTATGTCTAATTGATTTTCTTCCTTAACACTTATAATGCACTATCTACAAAGTTTCGTACTTTCACTACTAACCTTGATAAAACAGAAATCCCGCTGAATATTCAAAAGGCCTTGGAATCACCTAAATGAAGAAAAGCAGTAATGGAAGAAATGAATGCTTTGGAGAAAAATGAAACTTGGGAAGCGGAAAATTTACCGAAAGGAAAGAAATCTGTAGGCTGTAAATGGGTCTTTAATGTAAAATACAAGACAGATGGGATAATAAAATGCTATAAAGCACGTCTAGTTGCCAAAGGATACACTCAAACCTATGACATCACTACAATGAAACATTCGCCGTGGCGGCAAATCTCAATACAGTTCGAGTTCTCTTGTCGTTAGCAGTAAATCTAGACTGACCACTTGAACAACTAGACATTAAAAATTCTTTTCTTAATGGAGAACTAGAAGAAGTTTACATGACAACAGCACCAGGCTTCAACAACAAAAATGAGGAAAATCAAGTAAACTGAAGAAATCTTTATATAGGCTCAAACAATCACCGAAAGTGTGGTTCAATAGATTTGCAAAGGTATTAAAAAGGCAAGGATACCAACAAGGGCAATCAAATCACACCATGCTCTTCCAACAATCCAGAGATAGGACAAAGATTATCCTAATTGAATACGTGGATGATATAATCCTAACAAGGGATAACATAATGAAAATGGAAAGACTAAAGAGGTGTTTCCATTGAATTTGAGGTAAAAAAACTAAGTCAAATGTGATACTTTTTAGGGATGGAAGTTGCAAGATCAAAGAAGGATGTCAGTGTTTCCCAAATGAAATACATTCTCAACCTTTTCATCAAAATTGGCATGCTGGGATGCAAACCAAGCGACACACCCATTGAGGCAAGAAAATTGTCAAATGACTCAGGGAACTCAATGGAAATAGACAAATATCAAAGACTAGTTGGGAAGTTAATCTATCTCCCACATAATGTACCTACCATAGCTTTTGTAGTCAACGTGGTTAGCCAGTATATGTATTCTCCCAAAAGGGCTAACCTAGAAGCAGTATATAAAATCATCAGATATTTAAAATGCACATCTAGGAAAGGACTGTTCTTTGAGAAATAAACAGAAAAGAGTAGAAATATCCACTAATGCAAACTAGGCTAGATCAACAAAAGATAGGAGGTCTGCTTCAGGCTACTGTACCTTTGTATGGAGAAATTTGGTAACTTGTAAAAGCAAGAAACAGAATGTAGTGGCACGAAACAGTGCAGAAGCTAAATTTAGAGCGGTTGCATAAGAAATATGTGAAGGATTATAGATAAAGAAACTCTTGGAAGAACTAAAAGTTGGAATGGAATTACTAATCAAACCCTATTGTCACAACAAAGCAGCGATCAAAATTTTCGTGAATCAAGTGCGGCATGATAAAACCAAACATGTAGAAGTAGACAGAAACTTTATCATGGAAAAGGTGGATGAAGGAATTATTTGTATGACAAATGTTCTGACAAAACAACAAACGGCAGATATCTTCACCAAAGGGTTATCCAAACAAGTCTTCTACGACTTCAACTGCAAGTTGAACTTGGTCAACATATATAATCCAACTTGAGGGGGAGTATAGAAAATGTCCAAGTATGGAAAGATATCAAAGATGGAAATTGTGATTAATTAGAGATTTCATATTTTAGGATAATTGGTTGATTATTGTATTTCCTTGCTAGGAAGATTATTTTTCCTTCTTTTCTTCTAGCTAGTGTATTATAAATTGATTGTATTACTGCTGGAATGAAAATCAGTATACACAAGAAATTCACTCCAACATTGTCTTCAAACCAAATTTGTGAAAATCAAATGAAGAGATATAAACAAGCAAAAATCCAAAAATTTTACCCTTTGCTGCTGCCTGAGAAGGAGCCTCATATTGCCGCACTGACCTTCCCCTCTCCTTGGTGGTTTACCTAGTGAACCATCGCCACAGCTGCAAAAGAAATTGAAAATTTTCTGGAAGGCACTCATTGACATATAACATTAACCACAGTCTTTTTTCCCCTTTTTTCGATAGAGGATCCACTACAGTATATTTGAACCCTAATACGAGGTTAAAATGGTAACAGAGTATTTCAACTATGCTTTTTCTTTCCTTTCCAATTATGGGCAGGTCTTTAATTTTATAGTCACTGCTAAAGGTGAAAAAAATTATTTTTGTATTAGAATGGCAGTTTCTCAGTGATTAAAAAGTAAAAAGACTACAAATGCAATCTTCAGAGTGAAGATGCCTATAAGATCAGCATTTTAAGGTGAAAAAAATTGATTGCCAAAATTAATTAGCCTCCATACCTAACCCAGCAATTTCGGCAAACATCTGGGTCACATTCACGTCCAGCGGCATAACAAGGGCATTGCCGGCTTCTGCATTGACTCTTAGCACAATGGCATCCTCTGAAACGATTTTTACAGCTTTTTGAGCACCTGGAGAAATTAAGCAGCTACAGATTAACATCGTATTTGATTCAGCTTCATGTTGCAAGTGAAAATCTACATCTAGTGTTAATGACCGTACAACTGAAACTACTTATCTTTTTCTAAAATCTCATCGTTCCTAAGACATATTTTATATACTCAGAAGAACCAGAGAAACTAAATAAATTTTACAGCGTTGTGCTGTAAAACATGAGCTTAAGTCAATTTGAGTCTTACCTCAACAATTACCTAATGCATCTATCTTTCAGGGCTATGTTCCGAGCTAAGAGGATGTCAAGCAAACATTCAATCTGTAGTGAGTTGCAATAAACTTGATGAACATCAAGTAGATTACAAGAACAACTAAGCTTTATTCCCAATAAATTGGCAGTCGGCTACATGAATCCTTTGTTGTCATTTCATTGTTTCATTGCTACATCTGGCTTGCACCTAGACACTTAGCAACTTCTCCCTATTTTAATATATTATACTAAGATCACATCAGTCTTGTGCATGTGATTTCTTTAAGCCTAAACAAAGACATGCCCCCAACCACCTAAGTCGACAATCCCTTAATTTATCCTCAATTGGTTTGAGCAACCAGCAGACTCCTAGCACAGAATGCAGGCCGGCCAACAAAACTAACCCTGATTTTATCAGAAGTTCAATTTGTACATGGTATTAGTTTATCTTATTAAATGGGTAGGCAAAGGTTAATTCTCAGCTGTTATTTATTTATTTATTATTATTATTATTTTTTAATTAACACTAGTCATATAATTTAGGCTGATTTTGTCAAAATCCCATAATTTTAGGGCATAGTTGAGGAGTTGATCTTTTTCTTTTTTCAAAAATACAAACAGCTATATAATGATACAGATTGATGACATTGTAATTCAACAACAATAATACACATACACCTTCATGATATCAGACCAGGCTACATCCATGTTTTAGGCTCCAAAGGGAGAGGGGGGGGGGGGGGGGGCCTTTTAAGGGGGGGGGGGGGGGGGGGGGGGTTT